AAAGAAAGAGACATTGAAGAAAAGTACATCAGTATCAAAAAAGGAAACCTTGTTACGGAAGAGGAATCAGCACATTAAAAAATCCAAATATGCTCCCCAGTTCATTAGTGAATCGGGAAGTTTAGGTATAGATGTATATATATATATGTGTATGTATGTATATATAAAATATATATAACGAAAAATATCGATAATGAGTAATACAATTTTCGGTGCGCCTTTTCCCTTAATCTTACATTCTTCGACTTTGTATATATTTGTATAATGGCGAAGTTTCCTGTGGAACCGAGTTATGGGTCGTATAATTAAAAAGAAAAAAAATAATAAGCAATACAGTTAGAACACAAAATCAAGAAATTTCTTTTATTATATAGTCGAAAGAATGAAAATAAAAGTGCAACAAATCATCTAAGAAAACATTTTTCTTACCTGATCCATTCATACAGCTTAATATAAAATCCCTTTCCATATTGGAAGTTTAAACTACTTTTCGGACACGTCCGTCAATCCATTAGCTTCGCTGGGTGTCGTTTCAGCAACGACTGACTTTTGTTCAAATGGACTAGGGCTTGGTGCTCGATTATTGACAATGTCTATCACATTTATTAACGACAATCGTTTCCGTCCCTCGGCGTCCAAAATTTCAGAATCAATTTTACTGTTTCCGTTCTCAGTTAGAGACTCTACGAGATTTGTAGGTATTTCCTCGTTAACAAAAGCTTCGGCTGCGTCGTCTAAAACCGGAGGGATGGCACGGTCAATGGCTTCAGGAACGCTGAGATTATCACGGGGTTCAATGTCGCGTTCAAAGATCATTGAATCTCGTGATGGCGTTGGACTTGGTGTGCGGATCCCGTCGGAAGCAAAGTTAAAGTCGTTTGACGGTCTAGGACTAGTAGGTGAACGACTCCTTGACGAGTGTTCGCTTTTAGTAGAATTTCTACGAGCAAAGGTTGCAAATAGAGAAGGTCGTCCTGATTTAGTACTTTTCAAACTGGGAGTTGGACTTGCTGGGGGTTGAAGATTTTGTGGGTCATCTCCTTCTGTTTATAAATGTGCGTTAAGAAAGAAAGATTTTTTATATATTCCAAAATTAAGGTCATTTGATGTTAAAAGAGAAAATGGTCAGTTGCGGTTTCCTGGAGAACTCAAAATCAACAAAAAAGCTTTTTTCAGAGTCGTATTTAAAGCTGCTTTTTTCTTAAATCGCTGTACTTATAACAACAGAATCAGAGACTAAAACGAAAGAAGAACACAATACCTGAAGCATTGCTATAAGACAAATTCGGATGGTTCTTAAACTTTCGACTACTCCAGGTCATTATTTTGCGGAAACCTGGCCTCTGTTGAGTTTGAAGAGATGTAGTACTCATTTGTGAATTTAGATCAAAAGTTACTTTGGTAATAAAAGTTATTTATTCGTTCTGTGTTTTGTCGAGTCACTTGAGAGAATTTTTTTTAGAATGGACCTACAAATATCAATATATGGATTCCTTGTATCTAACTGATAATTTAAACATCAAATTATCACGTTTGTACCTATCACGTTAGTACAATTTAAATGTCACCTGATTTAAAAAGATAATTTTTATTTAATGATAGGGCGCCATAAGGGAAAATGTTCTCGAGTGTCTAATGGTACGATTGATTGGATGAATAAATGAATCCATTTATATTTCGGCGCGAGTGAAAAATAGATAAGCATAAATAATGTTTTCAAAACAATGGATTGGTAAACTTCAAATGTAGGAAAATTCCAGCACAAAAGAGGGCTGATGTTATTATCAACATTCGAAAATCATTTATAACCTCATACTACTAATAGTGTAGAGGATAACGCGTTAATTGTATTATCACTATACCTAAGTTAAATCATAAATTATAAGGTCTACCTTCATTTTCGACCGATTTTCCACAATAGGGACAATATTTGATGCG